TTGAGAACAGGGTGTTGAGGAGAATATTTTGACCGAAGAGGGATGAAGTGACAGAAGTTTGAAGATAATTGCATAATGAGGAGCTTCATAATTTGTCCTCTTCTGATCTATATCTATAGATAAGATCTATATATCGACTACCCCACAGGTCTTCATAGTTTTGTGTTTAATTAGTTAGTTATCCCTTTACACAACTGATGAGTTAAAGCAACAGCCAACGCTTATCGTTTCAGCATAAATCATTTGTGCTTCACAAGGTTATTACGGGCATAGCCACTCATATTGTGGCATATGTAATGATACGGAAAACACAATCCCCCGAATCTAATTCCGCTTACTTCAATATATGTGACACAAGGTCCCAAATTATTATACAAAGTTATATGTAAGAAGAGCCACTTGTTTCGAGTTATAACACCGTGTAGTTCCGGGAAAGCTCGACATTTCGGAGGAACCTATCGCCTCCATCTACATGGCCGAAGAATAAGACAAAGGAGAAACCTGTAGACGTAGGCGGAAAGCTTAACCCTGAAAACATGAAATCCAATTCTTATATATGCACATATATACAGGATGTACCAGGATGAAAGATCAGTATTCTTGGAGGTCATATTATTGACCATTCTAAACAAAAAATGTTTACATATATTTGTCCTATTCCGAACGGTTCTTCACAGTGGACATCCCGTTGTGTGTATAAACATATATGATCATGGTTATCCGTCGCCACAATAAATTATTTTATAAACAATCTATTCAGTAACATCAATCAGTATCTTATGGATTTAATATTTATTTATGAATATGAATATTCAATCCGTAAAATACTGATAGTTTACAAAATCAGTTTTGTGGTGACGGATTGTCTTAACCTTACATGTAGAGTTATTTCACTGTACAGTTATTTTCATAAGAAAAAGATATTACGTAATGTTTCTAATGCCGGTATTTACTCTTCAAGTGACAAAGTTAGTATAGTTTACCCAGTAGAATACATTTTAGAAAATTCCACTGTCAACATCAATGCACTTTGCAACTAGTCTGAGGACATGGCGTGTTGCTCGTCTGTACAGTGTGCAGTGTACTGTACAGTAAAATAACTCTATCTCGGTGAAACTCTTGTGAGGACATGGAGTGTTGCTCGTCTGTACAGTGTGCAGGGTACAGTGTACTGTACAGTGAAATTGCTGTATCTCGGAAACCGTTCGGAGTAGGACAGATGCACATATACAATTTTTGCTTAGAATGGCCGATACTATGACCTCAGAGAACACTGACCTTTCCTTACGGGATACGCTATATAATGACATCTTTCTTGAAAAATATACTAAGAACTAAATAAAACCAGGGATAAATGAAAATGAGTACTAAATTATTATCTGAGAACGCTATAGGAAACCTGAAAACAGGTGGAAGCATACTTGATTAGAAGACCCATGACTTGCAGTATATTTATACATTCACTACAAAAACATTCATAAGCACTGGAATTCTATTTTGTCCAGAGGCGTACAGATGATTTACTTTAATGTAATATTCAACCACAAGAATTTGCATCCACTTAACACCAAGATAATTTTCATAAGGAATTTACGTGGTTGGAACGAGAAATCGACAATGAACAAAATATTCCAGGATCCGAACATCGAAATCCACACTCCATTATATCCTTAAAGAAAATTAATTTTGGGGACGAAGGGTTGTATATGTACCACCAAATTTTACTAATATATTAGACTGCAAACAGACGCATTGGGAAACATATGTAAATCCATTAAGATGAGGGCTATCAAGAGGTAGGATAAAATATATTGTTTTTCAGATCACACTTTTCTGCCCTATCACATTTGATTCCCTAATATGATTTACACAGACATTTACACCCAGACATGTCAGCTTTAATTCCTATAATTTCAAGCCACCGTTCTGTTTGTCCCAGCTACTATATTTTCATTGGTAATTTTTGTATTAGGGATTTTTTTTTTTAAGAATTTCAGAAGTAGACAAATATTTCCTTCCAAATATGTCCTGCCTATGTAGTTTAGATAAAATGCCAGCAGATATCGCATGCTGTTGTATGCAGTAAACTCTTTAAACATTTACATTTTCAACATTTGGCAATTGTAACCTTAATTCCTCAGTACAAGATCCTGCAGTATACAAGAGCCCTTCCCCCATGCTGAGTAAAAATTATATAAAAAAAAAGCAGTAACCCTCCTTTACACGCAGGGTGTACCCTGTGACTTGTAAGAATAATAACCTCAAATTCTCATCCATATTTGAGTGTGAGATGTGCAATATATTCATTGAGTGGAGTCAGAAGAGTCCAGAGAGATGAGGAGGGAATAGAGAAGATATCACAGGAGGAAGTTTTCTGTGTGCTGAATTAAGCACCACAATATGAAGACATATAGGGGAGTGGAGGTACAACTCACCACATTTAGGCACTAGATGAAGGTGTATTGCCAGCTCCACGTCTCGGCCGTTTTAAACCAGAGGACATAACCCAACGTAATTTTGTGATAAGTGGTTAGGTGGGTCCCAGGTCCGGTCTGGGCACTGAGGAAAAGACAAAATTCCCTACCACTTTCTGTGTTAGAACCACAATATGTAGCCTAGTCACCGTACTTGCTGTGTTTCCTGACTCCTGGATGCATCAGGAAAACGAAGTATAGATCATTTAGAATATCTGCACTGAAACGGGTGCTGTCCTAACAACTACACTCCTTAATGTGCAGTACATGGTACCAGCTGGCACACTTCGTCAAACTATAATGATCAAATTAAGGAGGATAAGATGGGAAGGGCATGTAGAATGTATGGGGAGAAGGAGAATGAATATAGGATTTTGGTGGGAAAGAATGAACGAAAAGAGATCACTAGGAAGATCAAGACATTAGTGGGTGGATAATATTAAAATGGATCTTAGGGAGATGGGCTGGGGTGATACGCACTTGATTCATGCGGCTCAGGATAAGGACCAGTAGGGGGCTATTTTGAACACTGTAATAAAACTTCGGGTTGCATAAAATATTGGGAAAGTCTTGAGTAGCTTTTCGACTGGTGAAATCTCAAAGAAGGACTCCAACATGCCGGAGTGGTTAGGCTAGTGGAGTAAAATGGGGCTGTTCTCGTAATAATCATATGCTTATCTTAAAAGTTGGAGGGCTCTGTATTTTAACGGAACAAAAAAATAAATGATTCATCTGGTTCAGGTCAGGGGCCAGGATCGAGCTATTTTGAACACGGTAAAGCACCTTTATATTCCATGAAATGTTGAGAAATTCTTGAGCAGCTGAGCGACTGGTGGCTTCTCAAGAAGAACTCAACGCCTTGGAGCGAGTTAACTACTACATGAAGGTATTATATTTTCTGTAGGAAATGTATTGCTAAAACGAAAGTAAAGGTAGAAGCAAAGTATTTCCTATGCTTAATTAAAGTAGAATGGTAGAGTGAGGTATAGCTCCATGCATTCTTGACATCGGCACTACATGGAGGTCAGCGATGAGTTTTATGCCCTGGCTCCTTTGCCCCAGAAGATGATTTCCCTATACCTACAGCATAGAAAACTGGTTAGGTCACAGAAGCTGTCTGGAGAGTGTGGAGAAGAGAACATTGCCTATTCCTGCTTGGAATCTAATCCCGATTATTAACAGGTCTATCCAGTAACAAAGTCACTAAACTAAGCGAAAATTCATAGAATGTACAGTGCAAACACGTATACATTTGTTCTTATTAACGTCAGAACTTCAGAAAACTCATCAGAACTTAACGACGTAACAGGTGATATTTTTGCATGGATGTGTACCTTACAGGTACAGGTACTCAGTACATAAACACTGATTCCAAACACGGCAATTGCGTCTGACATAAACTCAGAAGCATATACTGTAGCTATTTTTGTAACTTTTTCTTCAATCCGCTTAGAGGGGGTGGAGTCCAACTGGGTCCACTCAGCACGGCGGCCAATGATTGGCCTATTGTAGCCTGCTCCGGGTGATTATGATGATGCAGAATTTCATGGAATGAAGATTCGTAAGGGAAACCGAAGTATTCGGAGGAAACCCGCCCCAGCGACACTTTGTCCACCACAAATCCCACTTGACCAGACCCGGGATTGAACCCGAGCCGCCGCGGTGGGAAGCCAGCTACTAACTGCTTGAGCCATGGCGTGGCCTTTGTAACTCTTGCTTACAGTGTTTCAATGCATAATATGCAAGTATATTTATAACCAATCTTCTTACCAAATATCACGTGCCTACCTGAAATATTTTGTTAATAACCTCCATCACAAAGAAAACTTATGAAAAATTGACACAGCAACCGTATATTCACAATAATTACCACAATAGAAGTTGAAGTTTCTCTAAAATTTTTTAACATTTATCATTTCAGGACAAGAAAGTGTTGACCCAATCTCACGAATTCGCACGTCCTTCATATTTTATTATTTACTCTAACAATGATAAAGTACGAGGCTGAAGTAATTTCTAGTGGCATAATAGTCATTAAAAGTTCTTGAAAATTGGTCCCCTGTTTTAAATGAAGTTGTGGACCCATAGAAACCTTGATCACTTAGCTTAGTTCCATATGAAAGTAAAATGGGGCTCGAACAGTATAACTAAATGGGCAACCACTTCTAAATCCACTTTGCTTTTGACGTAAATTTATCTTTAATATACTTTATTACTATACAGATTCAACCGGTTTCATTTCTCCTTCTTGAGCAATTATTTGTCACTCATTATGCAATAAAAACCAACAGTGTTTATCACAACAAAAATAGCTGGTGCATTGGACGCAACAATATACTCGTATGGCTGCTGCAGTGACCGTGCCTATTCAGTGCATCAGTCTCGTAGTTCTACTGCAACAGTTGATCCAAAACAAATCCTTAGCATTACGTAAATAGTCTTGACATGCTTCTGTCACACTAGCAGTTTTAAAGGCATGTGCTTTTCTGTTCAACTAGGTACGGAAATTATACATGTTGGTCTTACCTTCTGAATCTTCCTGTTGAATACCCAAGCTTTCCTTATTAAGCATATTCCTATAGCGTTCTGTGGAATGTACACTTTGTTTTCTACTGCCAGAGTTACTACAAGCTCTTCAAAATTATATTTATCTACAGATCTACACTGTTGTTCGTTTGCACGCATTGGATCCGCTCAAAACGTCAGTTGTTGCACTGTCACGCGTATGTCTGATAAATGTTACGCACTGTTACAACTTTTCCGCACACGATTTCAATATTAACACGTTTTCAAACGCACAGTAACAATTCTCAGTTATTATCATAACATGTTACAAATTCCTGTCTTTAGTTTAAACGATTATGTCCACTAGCACGCAAAAAAACATGACCACATTTCACTGTCCTATTCAAAACCTCACTGAAACTTGACAGAGTTGTCAACTTGCATGAATCATCCGTTGAGCGGCGCTGGTGTAGCTGTATGCAACTGAGCGGCGTAGGCTAATGCTGGACTCTGTGACAACTGAAGCAGTAGGACAGTCATTTCAAATCAGCATTCTTCTTTCATGTAAGACATGAGAGGTGCTTTAAACGCTAGCGGAAAAGCAGCCTTGAACACAAGAATAAATGATAAATTTTCGTCTTTACGAAGAAAAGGGCCGTCGTTATGGGCTATATAAAGAAAGGAACTTCAATTTGCATAGTTATCAGCAATGACAATTAATTATTAAATTTAACAGTATATACATTTTATTAAATGGAATAAATGTTATTAAGATTCAACAAGGTCGGTCACAGTATCCGAGCGGTCTAAGGCATGTACTGTTTTTGCTCGCTTGGAAAGCGGGATCGTGGGTTCGAATCCCACTCAGGGCATGGATGTTTAGTTTGTGTGTGTGTATTTTTCTGTGTTTGTGTACAGGTAGAGGCCTCGCGACGAGCTGATCACCCTCCCAAGGAGTCCTACCGAATGTGTAAGATCTAGAAAAACCGAAGTGAACGGAGAAGTTCATGGAGGTAGGGCTAGGCCCACTGGGGCTGTAGTGCCATGGGGGGGGGAAATATTCAGCAATCTGTATATATTTTTTTATTGCTAGTGAGGTGGGACTAAGTCCCTTGTACTGCAGCCACTTCTGGCCTATTGTACCAGCCCCTGATGATAGGTGAGGGTGATTGTAGAGCAATTGGTTGAATGAAGATTGGCAGGGGAAACAGAAGTACTCGGAGAAAATCTGTCCCAGTGCCACTTTTGTCCACCACAAATCGCACTTGACCAGACCCGGGATCGAACCCGGGCCGCCGCGGTGGGAAGCCAGCGACTAACCGCTGCAGTCTGTATAACTAGGGGTCAAAAGCCAATAAAAATATTTTCTACCGAATATCCATCTCTGGTTCGTGAGGTATCATATGCTAACCGTGGCAACGAGACCCGTGCCCATGATCGAGCGTAGAACTGAAAAGAAAGAAAATATGTACTTGTATGTACTGTTTTAAAACATCTTCTCTCATGACATCAAGATCAATTAGCAACTTCTATTATTTCGTTGGTTAGTGTGTTTTGTATCGATGCTATATCAAATGCAGTTGTTACGTATGGTCCAAATTTACGATTGTACCTATCGACAGAGTTTCAGTAGAAAAGGGCGCCAAAGAAAGCAATATATATATCGATTCTCTCTTTGGATGTATGCCTTAACATTGCCTCGGCGTAATCCTCAAGAAATCAATTATGCATATAGGCATATATATAAAAACGAAGGCAGATAATAATATTTGTATTACTTTCTGATCCGGTGCCATGGATTTCAAGTGACAGATTAAGGTTGAGTTGTCCAACCGGGAACCAGATTCTGACATTAGCTTGTGTAATTATGTTGAAGCTAAAATGATATCTGCTGATGACTGAGAAATCATCATGAGTTTCGGAATTCTTAACGGGGAACCAGAATATGTCAAATTCCCTTAAATAAATACAGAATGAACCAAGGTCCGTATAGGGACACTTGGCCGCGTAGTTGGTTGAGGCACTATGCTACAAGCCGGAAGGTCACTGGTTAGATTCCCTTTGAGGTCATTGGATTCTTTTCAATTTACCTGCTCTTTCCAGTCGCACTATGGCCCTGGGGTCAACTCAGCCTCTAATAGAAATGAGTACCGGGAATCTTTCTCGGGGCAAAGGGCGGCCAGCGCGTAAGGCTGACAACCTCACTATCGTCTTTATGCCGATGTTCTATAAAATGTGGGAGCCTCGACGTCTCACAACTCTATGGGCCTTCACGGCCTGTTAGAGGGATGGCTTTTCCGACACCAAAGTACATGTACATTACAGTAAGAACGGAAGGTTCAGGAATAAATAATTTTGATCCCTTACTTAATCACTTTGGTAGGTACACTCTACGCGAAACAAAAATACGAATTGGAATTTAACATCACTTACAAGGCACAGAATATAATTTACGGAATGCAAGAGATATACCCGAAACCAGTAAATAATTTGAAACAAACCACGGAATTGCAAGGCCGATTCCACAGAAACGATGGCGGAATATGTGAACGTGCGAGCTGCGAGACAGGCTGCAGGGACCAGAACGAGATATCGATCCAGAATTGATAGCGAGAACTTGGAGCTCGCCTCCGTTCAGACCGGAGGATCAATAGTCAATTATCGCTTCTTGATAGCTTTGTNTGTGTCGGGGGGGGGGGGGGGGGGGAGCACGAACACGACGTAATTCGAGACACGTTCCTCTTAGAAAACAGAACAAAAACTTCTGTGAATCAAACCTGAAGAGTCCTGGGTTCAAGTTCCAATGAGTTTGTGTTCAGAAATAACTTGTCTCTGCGGTTGGCCACTTTCTTCTTAGCTTTGTACAGTATGGTCAAAAGTCATCCAGCAGTAAGTTTAAGACTTATTTCCTACATGCGGTGCTGTAGCTCAGTCAGCGTAGTGACTATGCTATCAGTTAGGCGATAGGAGGTACGGGATTTGATACCCGATAGAAATCGGTATTTATTATCTTATCAATAACTTCAAAACCAGCTCTGGGGTCCATTCAGCTTCTATTCCACCGCGTCCTCTGTGTTCTCGAGCTGAGGAAATGGCTGACTACTCGCCTCCATCGAGTGCGGTGTTAAGAATCCCTGGAGCTTTACCGCCACTCCCTCATTCATCATTGGACTGTGTTTAATTAATCTTTGCACTTGCCTTCTGTAACAAGCCGATCCTGACGGCCGCACGACTTAAGGCAGTATGATGGATCATTCTTCTAGAAAGTTCTGGGGATACTTAGCGGAGATGACGAACTCCAGTAACGCGGAACACTACGAGATACAGTGACCGAAGAGGCTAACCTAGAGACAACGCTTTAGATTTGTATTTGGAGGCCCTCGGTTCGAATTCGGCCTGACTGACAGTTTAGTGTATTTCTTCAGTATCTCAAGGCACATACCGAGACAGAACCTAAATTAGGTCACGACCGCTTCCTTCCAATTCCTTTCCACTTCATTATTCATCTATCAGCTCATCTTTCGATGCTGTATTGTCTCGATATATAAAATGTCGATGAATAACCTGTAACGTAGAAATGAAAAAGTTAAAGTGATGGAGGATGAGAGAGAAATCGAAAGCACGGGAGGAAACAGAAAGGAGAGTAAACGATGGATAAGGAGAAGAAGGAAGGAATCAAAAATGTGCAGGACAGAAGTGAGAAAAATGACTTGGATGAGACAAAGATGAGGCATGGAGAGGCAGGAACAAATCTGCCTCATGGGCCAGTTGATTATGAGGTCGAAATTTTTTGTGGTATTGCTGGAACCAATTTTTGTAATATATTATATGGTTGGTACTTTCTATAAGTTTCCATTTAGTGGCTATATATTTCCAATGATACACTTCTTGCTTGTTACTTAATTTAATAATTTTCTATAGAGACGAAACCATTGCTTGAAGCACCATGATTTTTTCGAATTTGTTTGTATTTATTTATGGTTTTCAGGGCCCCGTCAGCAGCTCAGGCTGCATGTACATATATCATCAAAAGATTGCCGCTGAATTTCTCTAAATAATTATTGAGGCAAGTGGTAGGAAGTCAACAAATACTGCGAGAGACTTTTATCCCCTAGCTGAGATTTAAACCCACATTCAATTCTGTGTATGCGGAGGTTATAAAAAAAGGATGCACAAAAGTAACTGATAATTAAGGACTTCTGTTTTAGGTAAGAAATTTTGTCTTTCTGGATAAATAATTAAGGTCCCTTATTATTGGTAGATATAGATGTTCACGGTTCATCAATTAAAATATTTATTACTATCCTAGAAGAGCCAGAATAGTGCAGTCGATATAGCTACTGGTTACGAGATGAAAGACCGAGGGGTCAGAATTCGAATTCCAGTGGGTGCAAATTTTTCAATTCTCCATGTCGTCCAGACCGGCTCTGGAGCCCACCCATCCTCCTATCCAACGGGTAACGGGGGCTTTTTCCTTGGGGGTAAAGCGTCCGGAGCGTGAAGATGATCACTCACCTCCAGCTAGTGCCGAGGCCAAGAAAATGTGGATCTATACATCCACTGCCCCATATGTCTTAGTGGTAAGTAAAGTAAAGGTATGCCTGTAAGAGGCCGTGGAGGCACATAGGGTTGTGAGACGTCGAGGCTCCCACACCTTCTAGACAATCGGCTCACAGATGGTGGTAAGGTTGTCAGCCTTAAGCGTCGGCCGCCCTCTACCCCCAAGAATATTCCTGATACTTATTTCTGTTAGAGGCTGAGTCGAGGCCCAGGACCATATTGCCGCTGGAAGGATTAGGTCAATTGAAAAAAATTCAATGACCTCATCGGGACTTGAACCCATGAACTTCCGGCTTGTAGCATAATGCCTCAACCAACTATGCTACCGCGTGGTGTAGTTCTTAATTAGTTAAGCGTAGTGACAAATATATCTTTCTACCCCTCAGGGAATAATTGTAACACAAGGCTTCACTGACTTTGACAACGAGGTCAACTGCAGTTAGGGGTTAAGACTCGCGTTTTCCATCGCAAACGCTAGTGATCTGTCCCTTCACCGAGCTGTCATGCTGATTCCTTCTAATGAGCTAAACGTCCATCCTCGATCACGCGTTCACATCGAATTACGAGAAGCGGAAAGAAACAAGCCTGCGACACAATACAACGGATCAGCGCTGAGTGCTACCAAGTGTGACGTAGTTTTGCCCTGAGCAGCCAAGGGAAAGCTTTCGGGCGGGCAGAATGATTTGCACTGACACCAGCAAGCAGACCTACGTCAGGGCAGACACTGAACGCACACGTGCGAGTCAAATGGGGACAAGTAGATGAAGGAAGAAGAAAGGAAGTAGAAAGAGAAAAATAGTATACGTAAAGTTGTGCCTGTGCTTAACTATTTAAGCACTATGCCATGAAGACGTATGGAGGAGTGGCTGTAGAGATCGGAATATTTCTTGACTTCGGCACTAGTTAGAGTTGAGTGGTCAGCTTCACGTCCCGGGCGCTT